GTCCGTTGTGTTTTTTGGCGATTTCCGCCGTTTTGGGTTTGCTTTGCCATCACTGTTTTTCCCAAACTATATTCTTTGTAACGCATTCAAATTCTCAACGGTTCCTCACGTAACTTAACACCACGTCACACCGGGCGTGACGCTTTTAAGAAATAATCTTTCGTTTTTCCTCGAAACGTGAGAGTTTGGACACGTGTGGAATGATTAGCTTTTGATATGCTCAATTGAGGTCGTTGTTCACTTATATACTGCGATGAGAACAAATCTCACTTTTTTGCCTGTTGATAAATCACAGGCAGATAATCTAATATAAAGCACAAGGCTCCTGACCTTAAACTGGCCAAGAAAAATCAAGAGGAGAACAAGAGATGATCATGCAAGGTGACTTTGCGTGACTCCTTTGACAGTCCGCTGACAGGGTGCTTAGAATCGCGCACTCTTTCCTCTGATGATAATCTCATGATTCCAGTTCATCAATAACGTACAATGGACGCAAACCCTACAGAAGAATTCACAATAGAGGGGCCCAGTGCTGAAGAGATAAGGTCACTATCTCGACGATTGGGATTTGATATTGAAGACGGAGAGATATCCGTTTACCTAGGTAAGTTGTTGTTTTAAGCCTGGTTTTCACTAGTAATGATATCACAATTTACACAGAACTCTGCAGACAGGAAAAAGGTTACACAATAGCTATACACTTACGTTTTAACGTTGCACTACAAAGTAACAATGTGGGAACACAAAGTTTTGGTTTTTTGGTTAACGGGCCGGCCGGGCACACCGGCAATAAATTGTTCATGTTTGCAATTGCAACGTGTAAAGCGAGGATGAAGCGTTGTGTGACTCAGCTTCAATTGTCTTTGCTTGCGGGCTGCGTTTAAACAAACAGTTCGTAAAGGAAAGGATATTTGAGGAGTGGGAAGGGGATCAGAGATGATGATGGAGAGGCTGTTCTTAGTGTGTAATTTATCCTATATCTGTCCATAAAGGGAGCAATCTCCCGCCTTCGGGAATGGAAAATCTTGCCTACGACCCCGTTACGCCACATTTGTATAGTAATACGAGATGTACTGAATAACTTTTGATGACAAAGACGATAAGTTTAGAGACAAAATGTGACAGAGCAAGGTTAAGGTTAAGGTTAAAAGATACTTTCATGGGAAGTTACAAAAAATTTGTATTAAGCGAGTATATTGAGTTAATCGCAATAAAACTATAAATCATTTTAAAGCTTTTAAATTACACATGCGCTGATCTAAACTTGGCTGTGTAGCCGCGCGATGCGGTTCCAGTCTATACCCACAAATTGACCCTTGCTCACCATAGAGTCTCCAGTAGGTCAGTGGTTAGAGCATCCGACTAGATCATGGAGGGTCGTGGGTTCAGATCCCACCTGGGACTTGGACTTTTCTCATACGTTAATTTACAGAATCCGATAACTTACTTACTTGTTGTTTCGTTTTTCTGAAATGCAAAGATGATACTTAGCAGAAAGAGAAAAAAGAATTTTGCAGCGATGATTCAGCTTTGATTCAGGAGATTTGATTTCTAAGAGACGACTCACGTTTTGAAACTGTGTAGTGCATTGATTATACATGTACCTATCTTAATTATTGAAACCAACCTTAGTATGGGTTCTAACGTGAGCACTTTGCACTTAATTCAGTAAATGTATTACTCGCAGTAATCCAACTGTACTGGAAATACCAGTCTCCCTCGTAGCCGTGTTTAGTCTCGTCACGCAACGCTCCTCCCCATGGAAATACCTGCATGCTGTAAAATTACCATATGTCAGTAAACTCTTCTACTTCTATATGTGTAACGTGTTTGTTAATAAAGTTCAGTTAGCCTTTGACGGTGAAAGAGAAACAGTCTCTTTGTATCTGAATGACGACACCACAAACTGAAGGTAAACAACTTTAAAAGTTTTATCTTGAATTAATAAATAAATTTTCATAAAGTGCATTAAAGTATACGTCGAGCGCTTTTAATTTGCATGTTTTTCATGAATAAATGAACACTTGCTACTGTTACCTTGGTAGGAATTTTCCGCGCCGCGTGGAACTCTGGATGTGAGATCTCTGAGAGTTCCAGGCGGCGTGCTAACATCATCACAGTAGGGACTTTAAGCAGTCAGGACGGCAACGCCACAGAAGACGTCGATTAAAAAATGAGTTTCTAATTTTAGTTAGAATTTCGAAAATGGCTGCATGTGTTTACCGTCTCATAGGGCGCCAGACCTCAAACTCAACATAGCGCATAAAAGTAGCGTTGAGTTCCAAATTTAAATTAATATAATTTGCCGTCGCGGTTTCGCTTCGCAGACGAGGCAAATTTTGGTGATTTCACGTTGTTGTTTTGCAAAGGACGGCTAAGAAATGTACGAAGTTTAAAACGCACGTTCTGGGCTATTGTCCCGCCGATTAGATCTATTGTTTTTCCACGTTCTCGTTGCCGTAGCCGTCGTGGTTTGCTTAAAGTCCCTACTAGCTTTAATTTTTTTGGACTCGCGCGACGGACTCCACTGAAAGGGATAGACTGTTTGTAGTGTATATTATGCGGGGTGACAGTTCCTGTCATAATTACAGCGCCAATCAAAGAAATATAGACTGTTTTTTTTTTGGTAACGGAATTCTGCAATCAAAAACCTCCCTCCACAGAGGCGATGACCAGTACTCTCCGCCATAATTACCAGCGGTTGCACGAACTGCCAGAGTCTACACTCCCCGTGAAATATCCTCGGGAAGCTGGTTACAGGCCAGGGCCTGCGGAAAACCCCTACAATGCGTGGTGCGTATTTTTGTATGTTTGTTTGCTTCATTCATTCTTTCTTGTTGATCAGCTGCATCATCAGAAGGAAGGATTAGAGAAAGGATTATGCGAGGTAGGGCTATGACCATTGGTCTATGTTGCATCAAAGTGCTTCCTAAGCGGTGAGTCTCGTTTTGTCATATCAAAGTGCTTCCAAAGCTTCCAAAGGGGGAGGTTTCGTTTTCTCAGCAAGAAAAGGAGGGTAGCGGGGAAGGGGATTCAAGGGAAATTCGTTACTTTGCCAACAGGCATAACTTAGCAGACTGTGTGTTAATTGATTATCCGCAAGGTACATTTCTGCTCTTTCCGGATATCACTTTCACAGAACGGAAATCGGTCGGGAGTAATCTTTCGTTTTCATAACCCATTCAAAAAAAGCTCCAAAAAACTCTTCTAGTTCTCGGGAATTTCAGGTCCTGGCGTTGTGATGTGATAGGTGCTCAGAGCGGTAAACTCCAAGGAAAAACCATTGCCATCAAAGACAACATTCCAGTGGCTGGAGTGCTAATGACTAGTGGATCCCGGATGTTAGAAAACTATGTCCCGGATCATGATGCCACTGTAGTGTCTCGGATATTAGATGCTGGAGGGAGAATCACTGGAAAAGCCGTTTGTGAGGAGTGGTGCTTCACTGCCACAAGCTGCACCGCATTCACGGGGCCTGTTGTTAACCCTCACGATGAAACGAGAATGGCTCTCGGTTCTTCATCCGGCTCAGCAGCACTGGTGAGCCTATTTATGTCTATGGATTGATTAAATGTGCTCTAATGATCACGCTCTTTTCATTGCGGGTGGTTTACTTCCACCGCTACTTGTTGAGACCGCGAGCTTGTTTGGATTTCGCCTTTAATTACGGAACAGCCCTGATGGGAATATCCTCTGGAGTAAAAAGGCACATATTAAAATTAATTGCATAGGGCCAAGGGAACATAGGGATTTTCTTTAAGGTTAACAAGAGCTGACGATACTTTGGGGTCGTTTTCTGGAAGGGAAATTAAAAATCGTCTTCATAGCAAAGAAAAACGCAGAATATGAGCTTGGTGAGATACAAAAACAGAAATGAATCAAATAGGAACAAATACCGTTATGGATGCCAAAGATCGAGTCACATCACAATTCTTCAATACGAAGTTTAGGCCATATTTTCAAAAATGACGACTGTTTCATAACCAACTTTAACTACCTTCATGGTACAGCACCCAGAATCAGCTCTCAAAGCTGTTAGATTCAGTTTGGTACCCAGACTTGCTCAGATATAACTGCGTGTCATCTGAAGTACAAATTTAAGGCAGGTGGCGGGTGGTCACGTGGACATGGCTATGGGTGGTGATCAAGGGGGATCCATCAGGATCCCCTCTGCTGCTTGTGGAATTGTGGGATTGAAGCCAACATACGGGTTAGTGCCATATACGGGCATAGTACCTGTGGATCTCTTGCTGGATCATACAGGACCTATGGCAAGGACGGTTTCGGATGTAGCTTTGCTCTTAGAGGTAAAATAACTGTTTTTAAGATTCATTTTAAATGATTTAAATGCTTTTCTGTCAGTTTTCCATGAATTAGATATGTAGCTTTTACTCATGCATGGCTATTAGGAGAGATCAAAATATGGGGCAGGCTTACCTCAGGACGTAGCCAGCTAAGGTGGGTTTTTGGTGTTCGTGCGACCTCATCCTTATTTTAAAAAAAATGTGACAATTTCTAATTTCTACACTCCTGCTTCCTAAAATCTAGGTCCTCTCCCTCCCCTCCCTCTAACTGCTTTTCCTATCAGGTGTTGTACCTTTGACCAACCTTAGGAAACTCCCTCTTTTCAGCACTTATATTCCAGCCTCTGTGACTACCATCGTAAAAGCGTTAGCTATGCTACCTTTTTCCATAGCCTTGTTGGTCTTCCTCTCTTTTTTCATGGATTTTTTTTTCATTTCCATAGGATTATTTTCTTTATGTACCTCTTTTGTTAAAATGTCTAAAATATTTTTGCAGAAGGTTCCTGAAAAAAGTATTTATCTGTCCACTGTTCTTGTACCCAAGCTTCCATTCTTGTTTAGTTAATTGTTCTTTTTCTGTCAAACTTGGATTCGTATGGAGGTAATAAAAACATCGTTGGATGAATCAGTCAGTAGCGCACGTGTCCTTGTGCCAATCTGTAGAGCGGACGAGGTTCGGTTTGAAGGCTTTCCTGATTTACTCACTTTAGTTGCAATGTAAAGCAATGAAGCTTCATTTTCAAATTATACGAAGGTAGTAGCAGGACTGGATGGAGACCTGGATCCAAGACAACCCCCTGACCTAGGCACACCGGTTTCCTACATCACTGAGGTAACCATATAACACTTGCTTGTGTATAGTGCTAACCAGTCTGCATCGTGTCTTAGAAGAGATCAGAACTGACTTTACGTTATCATAATAAAATTGTCCATAAACAGTTTGCACAAAATTAACCCAGTTGACCATTGTGATAAAGTGCATAGCATCACCAAAATAATTATTAGTTATAGTTAACAGCTAGTGGTGGATATCTACCGATATCTACCGATATCTACCTCTAGTCACTGACATCGAGGCGAATAGCTGCAGGTATTAGTATACACCAAAACAGTGAGATACAATAGCATGAAAAAGATGATTTTAACCAATGCAACGATTACGAAAATGAATATTTTCAGGCGCAAATCCCGTGCGAGTTGCTCGGAGGTGAATGGCAAAAGATATTTACCTCCGAGTAACTCGGAGTTTGAGTAGCCAATCAGAGCGCGCCTTCAACGCTATTTTATGTTTTATTATATAATAATCGATAATAACTGTTTACATACTAAAACTGAAATGACGTCCGAGACTAATTAAGGAAGTTTTTTTTACATGTCATCTATATCTTTATACCATCAATAATAGCTCAAAGGAGATATTTCCACTCTGCGGATTGGCGTTCTTCAAGAAGGTTTTGAGATACCCGGAGCTGACTCGAAAATTATGTCTTTTTTGAGGGAGTCCGCTGGCCGGTTTTCAACACTGGGGGCTACTGTTGAAGAGGTTTCAGTGCCGATGCATTTTGATGGTAATTTTTTGAAAGCTCAACAACGACAACAACAACTTCATTTGTTCCCCACATTAATTTACATGATTCAAAAGTAGTATTACATAAAAAAATGGAAAGAGTACCCGCTGCCCATAATAACCATTGAGCGCTAAAAAGATAGGCCAGCCTTACTTAGGTTTTTGATGATGATTATATCTCAAAGAGTCGTTTACCACACACGCGCACATACACTACACAAGGTTAACTCAGGTTAATTTTTTTTTTTTTCATTGAAATTGACTTAATAAATTTATAAAAAAGACAAACAAACGAATAAACAACCAACCAATCAGGTGTCCCCTAAGCTTCATTCATTTATGTATTTGCTATATTTTCAGTTTGACGACAACGACTATACTCGTTGATTTTTCTCTCGACAGGGATTCTGATATGTGATGCGATTTGCTGAGAGGGTGGTTACAGATTACTCAATGGTAAGTAGCACAACACACCGTTTCACCTGCACAGCACCAACGTTACAAGCTAATTATCATAACGAATTTTATACATGCAGAATTCTTACTAGATCGCAGCTTTTTTTCTAACCAATAATTTCGTTTGGTAAAGTAATGAGTTCTTGCTTTTTCTTGTTTTTTTTTTTTTGGGCTGAAAACCAAAGCAGTCAGACATCTAGTTTTTCAAAACGTTTAGAACTCCTAGATAGAGAATATGAAAGTCAAATCGTGACAAGTGTGGGACCACAACAAAATATGAAGGCCACGGGAGTTTCAACCCTACGCAGTTCTAATTTCGTTGCTTACTGTTCCACAACACAATCACTTTCCCAGGGCCTTTTCCCTTTCCCTTTTCCCGCCCCACCCCTAGTTAAAGGAAAAGGCCCTGGGGACGAGGTTGATTGCTTCACCAACTGAGCTATGAAGACTTATATAAGCCATATACATGTACTGCGGTTCGTATTTGACAAGCGGGGATAGAATGATAAATAAGGTAAAAGATCAGCCATTATCATCGCTTGTGGAGGGGGGGAAGGGGAAGGTCCAATAGGGAAACAGAGGCGGTATCAGTCGTCGCCAACAGAATATAGAGGGGGGACTGTAGGAGACTGTGTATATGATTTCCATCCAGCTGGAAGCAGTCAGACTCCCAGGGACTCTTAAGAATTTTCCAAGTGTTTTTCTCTTGTTTTAGGATATAATTCCGACGCAAGAGGATTTGTAGACACGAGTCTTCAAAAGGCCATTTGGCGTGGTTTACAATCGCACGCCAATGATCTGAGTGCTGCTGGAAAGTTAACCCTCATGCTTGGCGCATATGTACATGAAAAATTCCATGGAGTATTTCACGGCAAGGCCATAAATTTATCGCGAAAGTTGTGTGAGGAATATGATAAGGCTTTGGAATCTTATGATGTTTTGGTTTTACCAACAATAGTTAAAAAGCCTCCCAAAGTACAGAACAGAAGCCAAATGGAATTTGGTAAGTCCTGTAAGGAAAACAACTTTACGGTTTGTGTTCAAAACATCTGAGCTAACTTGGTAGAATATCGAATAAAGTGAAATTGATGGTGCACTCTTGGCCGGGCATTTTCAAAAACGATTTGCAAGAGACTTGTGTTTATGAGGGGTTGTTTTTCGGGGGCATTTTTA